ATAAAATAATTTGCCGGGTATCCCACTCCCTACAATCCGACATAGAAACTACCTCCAGAGTGATTAGATGAAACATTTACAAAAATAATAAGGGCATTTGGTCTAGTGGTATGATTCTCGCTTCGGGTGCGAGAGGTCCTGAGTTCAATTCTCGAAATGCCCCTACTTTTAGTAATTTCAATTTTACGATACTCATGTCATGTCAAGGAAAACAAAAATACCTAATAATACAAATCTCCACTGCACCAGAAAACAAAATACCCAATAATACAAATATATTAATCTAGGCAATTGGTCTAGTGGTATGATTTTCACTTTGGGTGCGAGAGGTTTTTAGTTCGATTCTTGAAATGCCCCATTCCCATCTTTGTTGCTCTAGTTAACACCTGACAAAAGTTTGCGAGCACAACTAAGTACATTAGAACGGATCAACATATGTATCCAGAAACATCGATAAATTTAGAACAAAAAATAAAATAAATTGTGAAATTTCAGTATGTAAATTGTGTATTTTTGGACTCGAGTCCATAAAATAATTTGCCGGGTAACCCACTCCCTACAATCCGACATAGAAACAACCTCCAGAGTGATTAGATGAAACATTTACAAAAATAATAAGGGCATTTGGTCTAGTGGTATGATTCTCGCTTTGGGTGCGAGAGGTCTTGAGTTCAATTCTCAGAATGCCCCTACTTTTATTAATTTCAATTTGATGATACTCATGTCATGTCAAGGAAAACAAATACCTAATAATACAAATCTCCACTGCACAACAAAAACAAAATACTCAATAATACAAATATATTAATCTGGGCATTTGGTCTAGTGGTATGATTCTCGCTTTGGGTGCGAGAGGTCTTGAGTTCGATTTTTGGAATGCCCCATTCTCATCTTTGTTGCCCTAGTTAACACTTGAAAAAAGTTTGCGAGAAGTACATTAGAACGAATCAACATATGTATACACAAACATCTAATTTGTGTATTTTCGGACTCGGGTCCATAGTAACCCACTCCCTACAATCCGACATAGAAACTACCTCCAGAGTGATTAGATGAAACATTTACAAAAATAATAAGGGCATTTGGTCTAGTGGTATGATTCTCGCTTCGGGTGCGAGAGGTCCTGAGTTCAATTCTCGGAATGCCCCTACTTTTAGTAATTTCAATTTTACTATACTCATGTCATGTCAAGGAAAACAAAAATACCTAATAATACAAATCTCCACTACACCAGAAAAACAAAATACCCAATAATACAAATATATTAATCTAGGCATTTGGTCTAGTGGTATGATTCTCACTTTGGGTGCGAGAGGTCTTTAGTTCGATTCTTGAAATGCCCCACCTGACAAAAGTTTGCGAGCAACTAAGTACATTAAATTTAGAACAAAAAATATAATAAATTGTGAACTTTCAATATGTAAATTGTGTATTTTTGCACTCGGGTCCATAAAATAATTTGCCGGGTAACCCACTCCCTACAATCCGACATAGAAACAACCTCCAGAGTGATTACATGAAACATTTACAAAAATAATAAGGGCATTTGGTTTAGTGGTATGATTTTCGCTTCGGGTGCGAGAGGTCTTGAGTTCAATTCTCAGAATGCCCCTACTTTTAATAATTTCAATTTTACGATACTCATGTCATGTCAAGGAAAACAAATACCTAATAATACAAATCTCCACTGCACAAGAAAAACAAAATACCCAATAATATAAATATATTAATCTGGGCATTTGGTCTAGTGGTATGATTCTCGCTTTGGGTGTGAGAGGTCTCGAGTTCGATTTTCGGAATGCTCCATTCTCATCTTTGTTGCTCTAGTTAACACTTGAAAAAAGTTTGCGAGAAGTACATTAGAACGAATCAACATATGTATACACAAACATCTAAATTGTGTATTTTTGGACTCGGGTCCATAAAATAATTTGCCGGGTATCCCACTCCCTAGAATCCGACATAGAAACTACCTCCAGAGTGATTAGATGAAACATTTACAAAAATAATAAGGGCATTTGGTCTAGTGGTATGATTCTCGCTTCGGGTGCGAGAGGTCCTGAGTTCAATTCTCGGAATGCCCCTACTTTTAGTAATTTCAATTTTACGATACTCATGTCATGTCAAGGAAAACAAAAATACCTAATAATACAAATCTCCACTGAACCAGAAAACAAAATACCCAATAATACAAATATATTAATCTAGGCAATTGGTCTAGTGGTATGATTTTCACTTTGGGTGCGAGAGGTTTTTAGTTCGATTCTTGAAATGCCCCATTCCCATCTTTGTTGCTCTAGTTAACACTTGACAAAAGTTTGCGAGCACAACTAAGTACATTAGAACGGATCAACATATGTATCCAGAAACATCGATAAATTTAGAACAAAAAATAAAAAAAATTGTGAAATTTCAGTATGTAAATTGTGTATTTTTGGACTCGGGTCCATAAAATAATTTGCCGGGTAACCCTCTCCCTACAATCCGACATAGAAACAACCTCCAGAGTGATTAGATGAAACATTTACAAAAATAATAAGGGCATTTGGTTTAGTGGTATGATTCTCGCTTTGGGTGCGAGAGGTCTTGAGTTCAATTCTCAGAATGCCCCTACTTTTATTAATTTCAATTTGACGATACTCATGTCATGTCAAGGAAAACAAATACCTAATAATACAAATCTCCACTGCACAAGAAAAACAAAATACCCAATAATACAAATATATTAATCTGGGCATTTGGTCTAGTGGTATGATTCTCGCTTTGGGTGTGAGAGGTCTCGAGTTCGATTTTCGGAATGCTCCATTCTCATCTTTGTTGCCCTAGTTAACACTTGAAAAAAGTTTGCAAGAAGTACATTAGAACGAATCAACATATGTATACACAAACATCTAAATTGTGTATTTTCGGACTCGGGTCCATAGTAACCCACTCCCTACAATCCGACATAGAAACTACCTCCAGAGTGATTAGATGAAACATTTACAGAAATAATAAGGGCATTTGGTTTAGTGGTATGATTCTCGCTTCGGGTGCGAGAGGTCCTGAGTTTAATTCTCGGAATGCCCCTACTTTTAGTAATTTCAATTTTACTATACTCATGTCATGTCAAGGAAAACAAAAATACCTAATAATACAAATCTCCACTGCACCAGAAAAACAAAATACCCAATAATACAAATATATTAATCTAGGCATTTGGTCTAGTGGTATGATTCTCACTTTGGGTGCGAGAAGTCTTTAGTTTGATTCTTGAAATGCCCCATTGCCATCTTTGTTGCTCTAGTTAACACCTGACAAAAGTTTGCGAGCACAACTAAGTACATTAGAACGGATCAACATATGTATCCAGAAACATCGATAAATTTAGAACAAAAAATAAAATAAATTGTGAAATTTCAGTATGTAAATTGTGTATTTTTGGACTCGGGTCCATAAAATAATTTGCCGGGTAACCCACTCCCTACAATCCGACATAGAAACAACCACCAGAGTGATTAGATGAAACATTTACAAAAATAATAAGGGCATTTGGTTTAGTGGTATGATTCTCGCTTTGGGTGCGAGAGGTCTTGAGTTCAATTCTCAGAATGCCCCTACTTTTAATAATTTCAATTTTACGATACTCATGTCATGTCAAGGAAAACAAATACCTAATAATACAAATCTCCACTGCACAAAAAAAAAACAAAATACCCAATAATACAAATATATTAATCTGGGCATTTGGTCTAGTGGTATGATTCTTGCTTTGGGTGCGAGAGGTCTTGAGTTCGATTCTCGGAATGCCCCATTCTCATCATTGTTGCTCTAGTTAACACCTCAAAAAGTTTGCGAGAAGTACATTAGAACGAATCAACATATGTATACATAAACATCTAAATTGTGTATTTTTGGACTCGGGTCCATAAAATAATTTGCCGATAAAATAATTTGCCGGGTAACCCACTCCCTACAATCCGACATAGAAACTACCTCCAGAGTGATTAGATGATACATTTACAAAAATAATAAGGGCATATGGTCTACTGGTATGATTTTCGCTTCGGGTGCGAGAGGTCTTGAGTTCAATTCTCGGAATGCCCCTACTTTTATTAATTTCAATTTGACGATACTCATGTCATGTCAAGGAAAACAAATACCTAATAATACAAATCTCCACTGCACAAGAAAAACAAAATACCCAATAATACAAATATATTAATCTGGGCATTTGGTCTAGTGGTATGATTCTCGCTTTGGGTGTGAGAGGTCTCGAGTTCGATTTTCGGAATGCTCCATTCTCATCTTTGTTGCCCTAGTTAACACTTGAAAAAAGTTTGCAAGAAGTACATTAGAACGAATCAACATATGTATACACAAACATCTAAATTGTGTATTTTCGGACTCGGGTCCATAGTAACCCACTCCCTACAATCCGACATAGAAACTACCTCCAGAGTGATTAGATGAAACATTTACAGAAATAATAAGGGCATTTGGTTTAGTGGTATGATTCTCGCTTCGGGTGCGAGAGGTCCTGAGTTTAATTCTCGGAATGCCCCTACTTTTAGTAATTTCAATTTTACTATACTCATGTCATGTCAAGGAAAACAAAAATACCTAATAATACAAATCTCCACTGCACCAGAAAAACAAAATACCCAATAATACAAATATATTAATCTAGGCATTTGGTCAAGTGGTATGATTCTCACTTTGGGTGCGAGAAGTCTTTAGTTTGATTCTTGAAATGCCCCATTGCCATCTTTGTTGCTCTAGTTAACACCTGACAAAAGTTTGCGAGCACAACTAAGTACATTAGAACGGATCAACATATGTATCCAGAAACATCGATAAATTTAGAACAAAAAATAAAATAAATTGTGAAATTTCAGTATGTAAATTGTGTATTTTTGGACTGGGGTCCATAAAATAATTTGCCGGGTAACCCACTCCCTACAATCCGACATAGAAACAACCTCCAGAGTGATTAGATGAAACATTTACAAAAATAATAAGGGCATTTGGTTTAGTGGTATGATTCTCGCTTTGGGTGTGAGAGGTCTTGAGTTCAATTCTCAGAATGCCCCTACTTTTATTAATTTCAATTTGACGATACTCATGTCATGTCAAGGAAAACAAATACCTAATAATACAAATCTCCACTGCACAAAAAAAACAAAATACCCAATAATACAAATATATTAATCTGGGCATTTGGTCTAGTGGTATGATTCTCGCTTTGGGTGTGAGCGGTCTCGAGTTCGATTTTCGGAATGCTCCATTCTCATCTTTGTTGCCCTAGTTAACACTTGAAAAAAGTTTGCGAGAAGTACATTAGAACGAATCAACATATGTATACACAAACATCTAAATTGTGTATTTTCGGACTCGGGTCCATAGTAACCCACTCCCTACAATCCGACATAGAAACTACCTCTAGAGTGATTAGATGAAACATTTACAAAAATAATAAGGGCATTTGGTCTAGTGGTATGATTCTTGCTTTGGGTGCGAGAGGTCTTGAGTTCAATTCTCGGAATGCCCCTACTTTTAGTGATTTCAATTTTACTATACTCATGTCATGTCAAGGAAAACAAAAATATCTAATAATACAAATCTCCACTGCACCAGAAAAACAAAATACCCAATAATACAAATATATTAATCTAGGCATTTGGTCTAGTGGTATGATTCTCACTTTGGGTGCGAGAAGTCTTTAGTTTGATTCTTGAAATGCCCCATTGCCATCTTTGTTGCTCTAGTTAACACCTGACAAAAGTTTGCGAGCACAACTAAGTACATTAGAACGGATCAACATATGTATCCAGAAACATCGATAAATTTAGAACAAAAAATAAAATAAATTGTGAACTTTCAGTATGTAAATTGTGTATTTTTGGACTCGGGTCCATAAAATAATTTGCCGGGTAACCCACTCCCTATAATCCGACATAGAAACAACCTCCAGAGTGATTACATGAAACATTTACAAAAATAATAAGGGCATTTGGTCTAGTGGTATGATTCTCGCTTCGGGTGTGAGAGGTCTTGAGTTCAATTCTCAGAATGCCCCTACTTTTAATAATTTCAATTTTACGATACTCATGTCATGTCAAGGAAAACAAATATCTAATATTACAAATCTCCACTGCACAAAAAAAACAAAATACCCAATAATACAAATATATTAATCTGGGCATTTGGTCTAGTGGTATGATTCTTGCTTTGGGTGTGAGAGGTCTCGAGTTCGATTCTCGGAATGCCCCATTCTCATCATTGTTGCTCTAGTTAACACCTCAAAAAGTTTGCGAGAAGTACATTAGAACGAATCGACATATGTATACATAAACATCTAAATTGTGTATTTTTGGACTCGGGTCCATAAAATAATTTGCCGGGTAACCCACTCCCTACAATCCGACATAGAAACTACCTCCAGAGTGATTAGATGATACATTTACAAAAATAATAAGGGCATATGGTCTACTGGTATGATTCTTGCTTCGGGTGCGAGAGGTCTTGAGTTCAATTCTTGGAATGCCCCTACCTTTAGTAATTTCAATTTTACGATACTCATGTCATGTCAAGGAAAACAAAAATACCTAATAATACAAATCTCCACTGCACCAGAAAAATAAAATACCCAATAATACAAATATATTTATCTAGGCATTTGGTCTAGTGGTATGATTCTCACTTTGGGTGCGAGAGGTTTTTAGTTCGATTCTTGAAATGCCCCATTCCCATCTTTGTTGCTCTAGTTAACACCTGACAAAAGTTTGCGAGCACAACTAAGTACATTAGAACGGATCAACATATGTATCCAGAAACATCGATAAATTTAGAACAAAAAATAAAATAAATTGTGAACTTTCAGTATGTAAATTGTGTATTTTTGGACTCGGGTCCATAAAATAATTTGCCGGGTAACCCACTCCCTACAATTCGACATAGAAACAACCTCCAGAGTGATTAGATGAAACATTTACAAAAATAATAAGGGCATTTGGTCTAGTGGTATGATTCTCGCTTCGGGTGCGAAAGGTCTTGAGTTCAATTCTTAGAATGCCCTTACTTTTAGTAATTTCAGTTTTACGATACTCATGTCATGTCAAGGAAAACAAATACCTAATAATACAAATCTCCACTGCACAAGAAAAACAAAATACCCAATAATACAAATATATTAATCTGGGTATTTGGTCTAGTGGTATGATTCTTGCTTTGGGTGAGAGAGGTCTCAAGTTCGATTCTCGGAATGCCTCATTCTCATCTTTGTTGCTCTAGTTAACACTTAAAAAAAGTTTGCGAGAAGTACATTAGAACGAATCAACATATGTATACACAAACATCTAAATTGTGTATTTTTGGACTCAGGTCCATAAAATAATTTGCCGGGTAACCCACTCCCTACAATCCGACATAGAAACTGCCTCCAGATAGAGCCGTCAAAATTGGGTTTTACCCGCCGGGTCGACCCGTCCCGTACCGCCGTAGGTAGTGGACGGGTTCTTCAAATTTTGATCCGCCAGGAGGCGGGCTTTTTAGCCCGCCCCGCCTGGGTCACGGGTCTAGGCGGGGCGGGTCAGGCGGGTCACGGGTCAGGCAGGTCACGGGTTTAGCCCGCGACTTGCTAATACATATATATTTTGTATATATATTTAGTATTTAATACATGTTATTTTGGTTTGTGTAATTCTGTTAGTGTGTTATAACTTAAAGGATTATAGATTTATAGGAATACAATACTAGGTAGTGTTATTGTGTTAGTGTACTGTACGTCTGTACAGTGATTTTTTTTTTATTATTTTTTAAAAGATATTGTACAGTGATATTTTAAAAATAAATAAATAAAAATTAACATAGTAAAATATTGATTGGCAGTCTAGCCCGCCCCGCCAGCGTGCTTTGGCATGGAGGGGCGGGCCGGCCACATTCCAAGCCCGCTAAAAGGCGGGCTTTTTAGCCCGTCCCGCTACGAGGACGGGCTTTGGTGTGTTTTGTCCCGTCCCGCCCCGCGAGACCGTTTCGACGGCTCTACCTCCAGAGTGATTAGATGAAACATTTACAAAAATAATAAGGGCATTTGGTCTAGCGGTATGATTCTCGCTTTGGGTGCAAGAGATCCTGAGTTCAATTCTCAGAATGCCCCTACTTTTAGTAATTTCAATTTTACGATACTCATGTCATGTCAAGGAAAACAAAAATACCTAATAATACAAATCTCCACTGCACCAGAAAAACAAAATACCCAATAATACAAATATATTAATCTAGGCATTTGGTCTAGTGGTATGATTCTCACTTTGGGTGCGAGAGGTCTTTAGTTCGATTCTTGATATGCCCCATTCCCATCTTTGTTGCTCTAGTTAACACTTGACAAAAGTTTGCGAGCACAACTAAGTACATTAGAACGGATCAACATATGTATCCAGAAACATCGATAAATTTAGAACAAAAAATAAAATAAATTGTGAACTTTCAGTATGTAAATTGTGTATTTTTGGACTCGGGTCCATAAAATAATTTGCCGGGTAACCCACTCCCTACAATCCGACATATAAACAACCTCCAGAGTGATTAGATGAAACATTTACAAAATTAATAAGGGCATTTGGTCTAGTGGTATAATTCTTGCTTCGGGTGCGAGAGGTTTTGAGTTCAATTCTCAGAATGCCCCTACTTTTAGTAATTTCAATTTTATGATACTCATGTCATGTCAAGGAAAACAAATACCTAATAATACAAATCTCCACTGCACAAGAAAAACAAAATACCCAATAATACAAATATATTAATCTGGGCATTTGGTCTAGTGGTATGATTCTCGCTTTGGGTGCGAGAGGTCTCGAGTTCAATTCTCGGAATGCCCCATTCCCATCTTTGTTGCTCTAGTTAACACCTGAAAAAAGTTTGCGAGCAACAAATAATTTGCCGGGTAACCCACTCCTTACAATCCGACATAGAAACTACCTCCAGAGTGATTAGATGTGAAACATTTACAAAAATAATTAGGGCATTTGGTCTAGTTGGTATGATTCTCGCTTCGGGTGCGAGAAGACCTGAGTTCACTTCTCAGAATACCCCGACTTTTAGTAATTTCAATTTTACGATACTCATGTCATGTCAAGGAAAACAAATACCTAATAATACAAATCTCCACTGCACAAAAAAAAAAACAAAATACCCAATAATACAAATGTATTAATCTGGGTATTTGGTTTAGTGGTATGATTCTCGATTTGGGTGCGAGAGGTCTCAAGTTTGATTCTCGTAATGCCTCGTTTCCATCTTTGTTGCTCTAGTTAACACCTGACAAAAGTTTGCGAGCAACTAAGTACATTAGAACGAATCAACATATGTATACACAAACATCTAAATTGTGAACTTTTAGTATGTAAATTGTGTATTTTTGGATTCGGGTCCATAAAATAATTTTCCGGGTAACCCACTCCCTACAATCCGACATAGAAACTAACTCCAGAGTGATTAGATGAAACATTTACAAAAATAATAAGGGCATTTGGTTTAGTGGTATGATTCTCGCTTTGGGTGCGAGAGGTCTCGAGTTTGATTCTCGGAATGCCCCATTCCCATCTTTGTTTGCGAGCAACGAAGTACATTAGAACGGATCAACATATGTATCCACAAATATCTAAATTGTGAACTTTCAGTATGTAAATTGTATATTTTTGGACTCAGGTCGATAAAATAATTTGCCGGGTAACCCCATCTTTGTTGCTCTAGTTAACCGTTGAGAAATGCGAGCAACTAAGTACATTAGAACGGACTCAAATATGTATCCACAAACATTGATAAATTAAGGACAAAAATTATAAATGTGAACTTTCAGCAAGTAGATTGTGTATTTTTGGACTCGGGTCCATAAAATAATTTGTCGAGTAACCCACCCCTTACAATCCGACATAGAAACAACATCCAGAGTGATTAGATGAAACATTTACAAAAATAATAAGGGCATTTGGTTTAGTGGTATGATTCTCGCTTCAGGTGTGACAGGTCTTGAGTTCAATTCTCAGAATGCCCCTACCTTTTAATTTTACGATACTCATGTCATGTCATGTCA